CCCCGACACCCTGAGAGCGAAGGGCTACGAGGTGCAGATGGATGCCCTGATCGTCGGAGCCCTGTGCACCTGGGACCCCTGCAATGAGCGTGTGCTGCGGACCTGCGGGATCGCTCAACGCTACGCATGGCTCATGCGGCGCCTCATGGTCTCAGACACCATCCGATGGTCCAGGGACATCTACATCGAGCACATCACCGGCCACTGACAATACCAGGAGGCATGACCCAGAGTGACATGGTTCTTCAACTACGAGAAAGGGATCAAGAGACTTGCTCCTTTGGATCATATGAATTGGAACCATAAACTCCCTGAACATTAAATCTCACCAAATGAGGGTCAGTCCATCCTCCTCATCATATCCACTCATTATACTCCACACCCGAACATAGCCACTTTATGAACTTCATACCCTCATATCTCAATGTCTGTACTTTGACCCATCAACCTTTTACCCCCAATTGGGGATATTGCAGATTATGTATTCCTTATGCCACCCACTCTTAAACCAAATTTTGCACCCTCGATAATCTGTATGTTATTCCCTGATAACCAGAAACGTCTATGCTTAAACTCTGTACCGTTCATTTTTTTTTAACATCATCTTAATAAAATTTTTAGTTTCTGGTAAATTTTTTAAGTCATGATCTAAAGGATCAAGAAAGGGGAGGTAGTTAAGTAATAGGAACAATTCCATTGTTTTCTATCATTGAAGCTTTGGTCTTGAGTCAGCATAGTGAGGCAGGCATGTGTTTGAGATAGGCAGAAACATTTTGAAAAATGGGAAATGTATTTGTAAAGAGAGGGGAGAAAATAAACCATTACCCCTCATTTTTTCTTTTTTTTTTTATCCCCCCAGCAATGTTCACTTAGCTATAGTAGCTTCATTTGGGATTACTGTAGAGGAAAACAACATCTGGTTCAGGGGCACATTAAAATTATTCCCTGATTTCAATCTGTATGTTTTACTATAATCTAATTGCAATTAGATGAAATGTTAATAAGAAATCTGATAAACTGCTTTCAGTATTATAAATCTGTTGTTATGATTCATTAAATGCAAAATGGCTGATTTGGTGCCTGAGTGAGATTTAATCTGGAAAAGACTGAGTCAGTGTTAGTAGTTTAGGGGAAGCACCTAGAAGACCTATACTGGATAAAAGGAATGTGTCCACTCTTTGTTACTCAAGATTGGAATTTAGGGGTATTTTTAGATTCTGCAGTGCTCATGTATGTGCATTTGTGGCCTCAAGCTGGTGCTTTGTACATGATCAAACCTCATTATGTCACTATAATGTGATTTCACCCATTTGAAAACTCCATAGGTATCAATTTTTAAGGTAACGTGACTAGTCCATACTAGGGACTAATATTTCTATTTAAAAACACAAATGTTTTTAAAATTAAGAGCATAAAAAGCATATTTAAAAACCCTAACTACTCTTTTCCTTACATATAAACTTAAAAATCCTTGGAATAGATATTGTCCACAAATATTTTCTGCTGCTTTGAGATATTGTATGTCAAGTTTTAGACCAGAGAGAATTTCAAATCGGTGATAGACGTCCTATTAATAGGACTTTATAACAGAAGTATTTGAATAATCTTAACCAGAGCATTGTGTTAGTATGTCCTGGACACAGTTTAGGCAACTGTTCTTTTGGCGGTTTAAATTTGTAGCAGTTAAAATTTGAATTGATCCATTATAAACATTTTTAAATTGTGACTTTGAATTGGGAGGATCTGATTTTTGCATGGGTTGTTGGTTGCCATACAAATCAGTTGGCATAATGCTTTCGAAAATGCTGCACCTGTCAGTTGAACCAACTGCCCCACTCTTGGTGCTTTAGTCCTTCCCAAGAAACATTGGCCTTCACGGGTTTCAGCTCAGAATTTTGCTGTCTGTCTGTGTGTCCTCCTTTTCCTTGTCATCTGGGATATTTCTACCAGCCTAGCTGCGTTGCCTTCCTCCTATTTCATTTCTGTACTGTCATGCTTGTATACTCTCATTCTTTCACCTGCTCTCCTTCCTTACCTCTTCTGTCTCATTTGCCTCATTATCTTCCCATATCCTTTTTACTGTTACCACATTCTAGCTCCTTTTCTCTCCATTCCTGTATCTTCCTTCCCTTTCTTCAGCTTCCTGTTCTCCCTCTCTCTTCCCATTTCTTTCCATCTGCACAAGTTTTCTCTCCTTTCTTCTCTGTTATTCCTGCTGTCTCCCTCTAACTCATGCTGAATCGTAAACTGTTCAGGGTAAGGACCATGTCTTATTCTTGACTTTGTAAGTGTCATATATTTATGGCATTATATGAATGTTTATATTGCACTAATCTCCATAATTTTTAGTCCAGAGATTTTTTTTCCCATTAACATATACTCTTCCTCTTTCTCTCTGGTCACTGAATAAAGGCAATAAATAGTTACGTTCCCAGTCAGGTCTCAATCTTTTCAGATACCAGTTGACAATTGTATTAACTCTCTCTTTTTCGTTTTAAGCACAACCTCAACGCTTGCCTCAGCCAAATACTTCAGCATTGGAAAAGAGCGAGGAAGAAACTGGCAAGATACAGAATGGTCATGCAGGTCTGAGTAATGGAAATGGAATTCACAACGGGGTCACACATGTAGCTACAGATAATAGAAAATGTTCAGTTCCTGTTTCACAAAAAATGCACAGAAAAATTCAGTCCAGCTTGTCCGTCAACAGTGATAGCAGCAAGAAGAGTAAAATAAGCTCTGCATATTCTCAAAAGCCAGGTTCTTCTCCTGAAGGTAAGATGAAATTCTTATTATAAAAACAAACAAACAAAAACAAAAAAACCTCACACCAAATCAAACACAGACTAACAAAAACCCATTTTCTTTCATAATTACACAATCAACTAAAAATAATTGAAGAGCATGGCTCATACTCCAGAAGCAAATAGAAAAAATTATGATAAATCACAAGTTACTTCCCCAAAGGAAAATATTAAGTATTTGAAGGAAATTGAAGCAATACTTGATTTCCTGCTTTCAAACATTTCTCTTCCATAGTTGGATAATATTTTCAGACTGAATAGTTGCAATTCTAAATTGGCAACATCCTCACAAATACACCACAAATGGTGTACAAGCATTGGTTTGGGAGATTAGTAAACATTTAATTCCTGTAATGGCAGATTCTCCCAGGGCAAGATTTGTTGCTGAAAATGTGCTGTTAGCAGATTTCCTGAGTTCCTGTGCGATCTGAACATCAGAAGTTAAAATTGGACCAGTGTTTATTATTATTATTTATTTATTATTTTATTATCATGCATCATACTATATTTAGTCTGTAAATATTTTGCATGGAACAACTGCTTCTTACCCTCTCTTCCCTATGCATAGCTTAAATGAATAAAAGTAAAATTTTACCTTATGTTTAGCTGTGTTTATTTTTCACTGCCCACAATTACTCTAATGGCCTCAGAGTTACTGAACCCATTTTCAATTCACTGCCTTTCCATTAGTATTAATATACTCAGAAAGCTTTTCTTCTGCCTGTTACAACAGGAGCTACGCTAGAAGCTCTCTTAGTTTTATTGATGTTGAAGCAGGCTTTCATGCACTGTTGTGGGGAGGAAGGTGGAACAGGCTTAAGCAGTCTGGGAACACTGAATCTTAGGGGACAGGGTCTGGGAGGTAATTTTGTTCAGAGACATGGGGTAGACTCTCAATCTGGATGGGAGGAGAGGAAGCATAAGGAGAATTAAGGAGAAGAGGATCAGAAGATATGTACATATCAGGCCTAAACCAAAGCTTGTTACAGCAGTGGAATGATTCCCTTTGACTTCAGTAGCCTTTCCTTTTGAGTGAAAATGTGTAATTACTTCAGGGGTCGAGTCACTCATACTGGTACTGTGGGGCTCTTTCTGGTTACTGTGAATTTATTTTCATATGATATTTTCAACTACCTGCTGTTATTCTCTGGTTACCCTCTCATTCTTTTCAAATTTACTGCCAAATGCACCATCTTGTGCTTTGCTTGACCCCTCTACTGTTTTATTTCCATTTTAAATCCACTTCACCTCGCTACCCAATATTTTCCTCATACTCACTCATTTTTCATATTGTCTTTTTATGTGGCTCATGTGGACTGAACACATGGCTATTTTTGTGGCTCATGTGGACTGAACATTGCTGAGTTTAGAAAATCCAGACTCTTAAAAGGATATTTTAGTATTCCTAAAAACTGGTGCTCCTGTTGCTGGATAGGGAAAAATGTATAATGTGAATTTGTAAGACTGTAGCTGCTACTTAAGAAAGTCACATTATTGGCAAAAAAATAATCATGACTGGTTTTCAGGGGGAAACTGACTGCTAAGAGAGGCAGGTATAGCTATAAATTCCAATTCAAGATTTAATGTCAATTGTGGGACTAAAAGCCGGAGTCATATTGGCACGATAACCAGTACCCTTATTGACAACCTCAGCAAAGATGGAATGAGGTTAGATATTAAATTATTCGCTTATCCCTGGCAATGGTAACCCTGAGTCAAGGTTGAGGCACATTCACAGTGCACTATGAGGAAGTTTGCTCTGCTTCTGCCTGTGCTGTATAATTCCAGAATTACTACTATTTGAAAGTCAACACAATGATGCAAGTGAAGAAACTGACTTACCACTTATAAACATAGAGAGTGTCAATTTTTTGTTGTTCAGTGTGACACCTCCAGGTTGGTTTTCAGAGATGCTAAAC